TGCCTCGTTGTGTATTAGTTTATGTGACAGAAAAATTAAACAAGAGGTTATTTGCAATGACCGAAATGACACTCGTCGGTTTTGTCGACAAGCACCACACGCACCAGGTTGAAGTACTCTATTTCAACCTGGATATTTTTAATTCAACGAGTGCACATATAACATTTCCATTAAATTGTGTAAAAAGCTTTTAAGTGAGGTTTATCATTTGTGTAATAGTTCAAGTGATAGACGTTCTGCGTTAGGAAAGAAACGATGTGCCTCGTTTTTCCCCGATAATTGAAGCCTTGCAACTCGATTCGATTGTCGAAAAACAGCATCTCCGTCCTGCACGATCATCGTAAACTAAAATGACCAGGTTGAATTAAATTATATCGACCTGCACATTTTCAATTCAACGAGCATAATTATAACATTGTCATTAAATTTTGTAAAAAGCTGTTTAACAACGTTTTATTGGCGAAAACGCTGTGTCGTTGCCTTGTTGTAAATTAGTTTATGTGAAAGAGGCTTGTATGAAAAATACAAGAAGATGTCACTTATAATGACCGAAACGACGCTCTTACGTTTTGTCGGAAGTTCCTCTTTACAATTTAAGTCGATTGTTTATAAACATCATCTCGGCCCTGTACGATTTCCATAAAATGAAAGGACCAGGTTGAAGTATATAATTCGACCTCGTCATTTTTAATTCTACGAGCACTGTCATTAAGATAACGTTTCATTGTTTCGTTGTGTCGTAACTCGAGTGACAAAAATTGTACTAAAGATTGAAAAATACGAGATTCCATCTTCACAATACCACATTAAATTACTGTAAGTAAAAGGCACCTTTGTTCTATACAATTTTTGTAAACTGAAATGACGAAGTGCATTATGTTGACTTTGATATTTTCAAATCAAATTTGTTAACAGACAATAGTTCTATTGGTATCGGTTGTATTGCAATCGATTTATTTCAACTGTTAATATTGTTTTCCTAAACTGAGATGACCAGGTTGAAGTATATTGCATTGCCCTGGTCATTTTTGTTCAACGAGCGAAATCGATTGGTCGAATTCCATTTTGTCGATGAATGGAAATTTCATTCTGCACGTTGTTCGTTAACTGTAATGGCCAAGTCGTGTCAGCCTGTTTTTATGGGCAATTGTAATGCAATTTTACGTTTAGATATGAAGTAAATTAAGTTTATTAAAGGTGGAATGAAAATTATTTCAGCACATTGGTCCAATTATGGAAGGAAATGTCCCGACTGATATCAAACTATTTTATGTAGACCTATTTTTGGAGAACATGCAATGCTGTTAAACATGGAGTTGTAATCTAGAATAGTTGTATTGGTGTAAATTTCATTTCATTAAAGTGATTGGGTATATTTTGCACACAGATGTACTTGTGCACCAGCCATCTTTTACTGTAACACTAGAGCATCAGCGTTTACTTTTCACTTTATATTCAAGTTTTTAATTTCATTGTAGAACTGTGAGTCCTATAAGCAAAAGTAGACGTTTGTGTTCGACATTTTTCATCAAACATATGACTTTACATTTGACTCTAGGAACGTGTATTGTTCCTTTGTAAAATTTCTGTTTAGCAGCACTGGACGTTTAAGTCCAAACTGTAATGATCGAAACGTTAGGGTCATAGTGTAATTTCTTCCAGACAAGAAAAACTTAATTTATGTGAGTTTTTGATTGGTCAATTAACTCACATTTCATCGAAGGTTCTTGTGGATTCTTAATTTTCGGGTGTAAGATTGTATCCCATGTGAATTGCTGTATGACAGCCCTTAATCGTTAGCCCAGACTACAAAGATCGGCAAATTAGGGTCATTGTGTTTTCTTTTGTGTTTTTTTTTTCAAAAAGGTGAAATTTTTGGTTCCTCTTAATCTACAACCGGCACAACATGTTTCATGATTTTTTTGTGTGTTTTATATAATTGGTTTTCACAACACGGTGTAAGGTATATCGACCTGCAAAGATTGGCAAATTAGAGTAATTGCCTATTGTGTTTTTCCGAGAAAGGGAAAACGTAAATTACTATTAGCTTTTGATCGATTGATTGCGTAGCTCTCACATTCTTTAATTTAAAGTTTATTTTTACGCTTTTTAACCTGTTATGTGGCATCACTTGTATGAAATTAATGCTGTATACATGTTTGAACAGCCCTGAAGGTACTTTGCAACTGCAAAGTTTGAAACCAAGAATATCTACGTAATTTAATTTTTTTATTCTTCATTTGTTGGGGTGGAGAAGTATAACACGATTGGTCGAATTGCACGGCATATTTTACCACATTGTCATGCAGGTTAAAATTTGCAGTCATTCTATGGGTTGTATTCCACGTGAAATTCCTCTTAAACAGCTAGCCTAAGTGTAAACTCCAAAGATCGGCAACTCAGGGTCATTGTTTATTTCCCTCCAGAAAACCCTGTGAGGTTTTGATTGGTGAATTTGTACGATAGTTTTCATCACATGTTAACACAGGTTATAATTTGTTCTCACGTGTTAGTTTGCATCCGGTGTAAAATTGCTGTGAAAGAATCTTATTGTTAGTCCAAAGCGTCAAGATCGGCACAGTAGGCTCATTGTGCTTTATTCCAGAAAGGTAAAACTCCAATTACGGTGAGATTTCGATTGGTCGATTGGGATTTTTTAATAAAATATACTTATGAAGGGTATGTACGATTTGTTAAGGTTGTACCCCAAGATCGCTAAATAGCAGATCCGAACGTAAGTCCGAACTGCAAAGATCGGCAAGTTAGGGTCATAGCGCTTCGTTTTTCAGATTATGATTGTCGATTGGTGCGACATTTATCATCAAATATTTTCCTGGATTATATATTTCCCATGGAAATGTGATGTATAAGAGATCTGAATGTAAGCCCGAACAGAAAAAAAGATCGGCAAACTTGGGGCATTGTGTATTGGTGGAGAAAAACGATAACGTTTTTATTACTAGACACAAGTTTTGATCAGTCGATTGGCAAAAAGTATTCTTGCAGATTATAAAATGTCACGTGTAACGTTTGATCCCCTCTGTGAATGTCGTTTAACTGCTCAGGAGATAAGTCCGACCTGAAAAGGTCGGCAAACAAGGGTCATTATTGTGCATTTTGCTTTCCAGAAAAGTAAGTTTAATAGGTATTTCTGATCTATTTTCACAGTGTGTTTTAATGCATGGATCTTTTTCGTTTGTCTTCTCAGGGATAATGAATTTATGTCACGTGTGGGATTCTATCTCCAGCAAAAAGTAACGTATATGCAAGTCTAACCTCGAGAGAACGACAAATTAGTAGTTTGTTTTTTTTGTACAGTAAAGCGTTAATTACCGTGAGTTCACACCCACTCGATTGACCCGTTAAGTCTTCCCTTTTATTTTCGTGGATGTAGAAGTTCCTTATAAACAGCCCAAAACTGATCAGTTTTTTTTACAGCAAAGTATTAATTTTACTGCGAGTTTACGGTTGTTTATTTGACGCAGGACATTGGCCATAATGTACTCGAATCGAATTCGTTATCACCCTTTTAAGGTAACATTATTATACATAGTACCGAACGTAAGCCCAACCAGCACAGATCGGCAAATTTGGGTAATTGTTTTCCAGGAATGTAAATTTTCAGCTAATGTACAGTGAATTTACAAACAGTGGATTGATTCGTGACATTCGTCAACCTACATATTTGTGGATTTTAATTTGTTAGGCGCGTAAGAAAGCACTGCAGGCCTAGTTCAACCTGTCTCCATCGTTGCGATCGGCTCCACCTACCGTAGCTTATTGTTACCTGATGATGCATACAGAGGCCATCCATGTGAATAAAATCCCTTCCAAATTCCCACGTGGTGATTAATGTTCATTCAGCAATATTATATGCGCTGCTGAGCTTGTATCGCGTCATAGGGCTCAATAAGCCAACATTTCTTGCGTAAGTATATCGTATGCTGACTTGGACTTTACAGTTCAAACCCTTCCTATATAGTCTGCTGTAGTAATTAAGAGGGCCATTTAGGAAATCCTGGATATATCGTTGTTGTTCAACCTGCATGTTGTAGCAAGGCTTAGTGTGGCTTACTTTTATCAAAAAAATGACAGCAAGGCCTACTAGAAATATAAAAATCAGTTAGGTATAGATGAATGTGTAGGCCTAAGACTTGGTCTGGTGATGAATGATAGTGACATGTATTTATATTGAATCGCACCAGCTTTGGCAAGTGTCTTTGTTTTTATGTCAACAGCCAGACTTTACCATACCGGGCAAGGACTACTTAGCGACAGTGTTTCTTACTGAGGGAAGAAGATTGGCGATGCAGACAGATTTGTAATGTTGCAAACCAATGAGAACACGGGAGATACGGATGGCGACTTTCACCCTGTTTGCTGCGCCCACCCAGTGGAAGTCTGGTGGGGAGTCTCCCAAATCACAACTTGAACATCATTTTTCTCCTATTATCTAGTCTTTAGTTTTGCAAAATGCCAAGCTTTGAAACCTTCGACATGTTTTCCACACAAATGGGACGTGGATGACTGGACTGTAGACGACGCGTTCTTGCCTAACTGTTCATACATTGGCTGCTGTCGACCAGCAGCACTCTCCACATGATCTTTACCCCAAGCCCATAAAAAGAGGGGGAAGATGTACTGTCCAAATGTTTTTGACCAAAAGTGTACCTCCATTTTTCCCATAGGGTGTAAAAAATCCATTCTAGTAGATTGCTGAAACTGTTTTCTTTGTGAAGGTTGATGAAGTGAGCCAGTGCACGGAAACATTTTGAGTTTTGTTTTGCGTAACGTTTGTCCTACATTGACGTAATATCACCTTAAGAATATATGCAAATGTTGGGTAAATCTTTCGGAAACTTCAGAACAACCCTTAGAAAAAGAGTAATATCTGGATTATTTAACTTTGTTCAGTGTTTCACAGTGCTTGTGGAGCAAGGAGATTTTTTTTTAATTGGGGGGTGCTTTTGTTTTTTTTTTCTCTTTTTAAACCTCAACAGCCAGGGCACTGTACAAGGCAAGACCTACCTTCTCACTGGTGTGTCTTGGTGGCAGAAGATGGACCTTTCACAAAACGGAAGACGACGAGCGATTGGAAGTAGGAAAAAACAGGATTAGAAACTTTTGCACCGTGCTTGATTTGCACTCCGTTTGGAAATCTTAGGGTATTACGTTTCTCAAGGCAAAAGGAACAAAAAACTCATTTGAAAAAAATGGAAATTGTCAGTCCCACGTTGTGCAGATTCCCAAAAGATCTTGTATAGGTGGAACATTTGACTAACTCTAAAGGTTTGTTTTTTCTGTCTGTTCTGGAATGCAGAGCTTTGTCAGGTAGCTTAAGATGGTTTACCACTTAGCAGGACTTGTATCACTGGACCAGGAGCAGAATCCACCTTGTTTCACTCTGCACAGCGCATAGCTGTCGGCTGGACGTCCTTATCACTACCGAATGTTTCCTGTCAGCTCGTCAAGGTACGCAGTCTCAGTGGCCCACCAAGGACTTGTCCTGGACTAAGTGGGTGGTTGGGGGTTCACACTTAAATTCACCCAAGAAAAGTAGCTCGTGATGACCAAGACCCCTTCCCGTTTTCCTGAAGGGGACTGGGATGTATATCCGTCGCAGATAACGATGTAAGGAGTTGAATAGTTGTCGGTTCATAGTGCACTCTGTAAAAGCATTATTTTTACCATGGACCTTTGTTTTGACGAAAGCACAAACACAAAGGCATTTGAATGCCCCCCCGACACACACACACAGTATTGTTCACACCTTCAATCGTGGACTCCCTCTTTTGTTCATATTTGAACTTTTTCGGAAACCTCCCATATGTTTTGTACACGTTTTTCAACCGTGGACCCTTCAGCAACCGTGGACCCTAATGTCCCCTTTTGTTATAGGTCCACGATTGGATGCAAATACAAGCCCACTCTTACCCAGCTATACTTGTGGGGTATTCTCTTTGTACTCGTGTACAAAACTCCCACACAACACGCAAAAAATTCAAATCACTCCCATTTGAACCAGATTCATTTTCCTACTTTCGAAATTCGACTGAACGTCCCTTATTTAAAGAACTTTATTTTTTACCGATGAATGGCACTTGAAAATTCCTCCTTTTTGAATAAATTTGAAATATCTATTTCATGAAAATCTAGTGGGGTACCACTGTAGTACCCCACAATGATCAAAACTGGCCTTGTGGGGTACCTTCCATTGTTCCAGTACCCCGCAGGCCCCTCTATACATGCGCACTTGGTCAGGTGTGGCATCCATTGTGTGGACCTCTACATAAAAGAAGTCCACATAATGTAGATTGCGATGACGTTGTGTGGACTTTCACACATCCACACAATGTTTTATCCCTCCTATGAAAAACAGCTTCTTGGGTATTTTGGGGTCAAGGTTATCCGTGGCAATACGAAGGAGAACAGTCCAGGAAATCATCATCAAAAATCCAGCTCTAAGGAGTTATCCTAGGTGGAGAAAAAAAAGCATTTTCCTCAACTTTCCTTAACCACAGGAAAACAAAGAAATGTTCACACTTTGTATGTAAAACTGGTACCGGTGCATGGGCCTCTGGGTGTTCTTATTCAATGCGTGTAGTGACCCCTCTGTGATTTGTAGAGTATTCGAATAATGCCAACCATATTTTCGTTGTTTTGGTCCAGTTGAGTTGGGTTGAGGACACGCCCCTTTGCTTTTGTTTACTTGTAACTAATTTGCCGTACCTTTGAAGTGAAAGTATGTTAAATGGCACCCTGGGCGCCTTAAGCATGTCTGTTAAAGGTTGCTTTGTCTTTGGATGTTACGATGTTAAGTCGTCCTTATGCGATTTTGGCACAGAAGTTTTGATTCAACTTCCGGGACTAGCAAAATGCAGTGTCCTAACAAACCCTTACATTTCGAAATTAACAAGTGTAAGAAACACTTTTCGTCGCTTTATAAAAATGATAAAAAAACCCAGGTCATCACAAGGCATTTCTACTTATCGTATAGTTGCGTTTGGTCCATTGATCTGAAACGGTAACTTAGTTTGCCCAACTATGTCATTTCTACAGGTTCCTGAGGAGCGACTCGAAGACCCTGGTGGCCGATCGTCTATTAGGGGATTGCAGTGAAAAAAATTCCTGGGAACGAGCCTCGAGCTAGGCCAAGAGAGGGCGCACTTTTTATAGCTACTGTTACGGTTTACTCAACGAGCCAGCCTATGTCTCACCAGTCTGGGAGAACTTTCCAACTGTGAGGAAAATCACCCTTGGCCCTTGAGTTTCACCACTGATCTCTATACACTGGATAGGCAGCTCTGCTCTGCAACTTAAAACAACTGCGTGGCCATCTCAGGCTTTTCAATACAATGACATTTTCCAAGCCACTGGCTTTTAGCACCGTGCATCAATGCACTTAGTGAATGGACTGAAGTTGGAAGCCATTGTATTGAATATCCCATGATGGCCGCGCGGTCATTCTTTTCACACAAAGGCAGTTCTGCTGAGCTGCCTACCCAGTGTATAGACAACGGCGAGTTTGACGAGCAATCTAAGGTCTAAGGGTCTTTTTGGCGGAAATATACCACCGATTCGGTGACCCAGTCGACTCACACAAAAAATGAGATCGTGCAGACACAAGGTTCTACCGGCAAGATCAACTAAACTTATTCAATATACTTTTCAATATAATTAAACAATTAGAATTTGCTTATTTTTTTTACAAGTTACAAAAGAATAAAGCAAAATGCATTTACAAAAGAACCCTTAATGCGCGGTACATTCCAAAATTAATTTACCGCTCTGTGAGCTTTGGGCGAAAACAAATGCTGATATGATAATTGCTTTTTAAAAAATCTGCACTCTGTAAAATGCCGCCAATAATCTGCAATCCGCCAAGTGCTGCTAATAATCTGCAACCACAACTTACTACCTGTGTCCGACATCCGCACTCCTCAATCGGGTGAGAAATTCCATATTCAATTAGAAACGCGCGCCTATGGGGTGAGTAGCAGGCCCTCTTTTGTTGTGCTCGGAGCAGATCAACTACTGCGGATACTTAGCAAAGGGACACACCTTTGAACGTGCTTTGTTTTGTCGCCACTGCACGCCCCTGCACATGAGATTTCCCGAACATGCAACCTTGGGCACACCATATCGTCGCTGTACAAGCTGGTCTATCTAGTTTACAATTTAGGCCTATAATATGCTTAGAACTAGCCGCTGCTAGAAGCCCTTGACAGCGGTACGTAAAAGTTAAGAGGAGTTACCAACACGGGGCTGAATGGATAGCAGTTGGTAAGAGGGCCAGCATGATTGTTCCGAAGGGCGCAGTTTCAAATTCAGCGGTGGAAATAATTATGTTGCTTGCAAAGGTCCCTCTCCCGTTGCAGCTCCGAGGTACTGCTGTACTTGTTACTGCTTCTTACATTTTCTTGTCAATACAGATTAAGTGGAAACAAATATGGAATATGACCTAGAGCCACTTGGGGTGCTTTCGTGCTGAATTTCATCACAAATTAGCCCGACAATCGCTGTCTGTCATTAACAACAATCACTTTGCAGCTGACTTGATTCATTGCCCTGGTCAAGCAGTGGCGGTGGGGGGGACACGTTGCATCCCTACAAGAAATTTTTATAATATTTGTTTTTTATTTACTATTTATTATTACAAACAATGGGCAAGTATGGGGAAAAAGGTATTCGGTATTTTTATTTATCAAATCCCTGAGATAAAAACACCGGCAAAAACGCAAGGATGTCGGGACTATGAGTAAGGCCATGCAGAACACGATTCCACTGTACATCAGAGATATTTCGATATTAACGTCGGCCATAAATCAGAAGGTGAGCCTGAAAATCAGTGGTTGTTAATTTAAGGCTGCACGCATAAACTATTGGGTAGCATTAATTTAGAGTTGCAAGCCATGCAAATGGTCTGGGGAGAGAGTAGAGCCAACGTCAGACTTTGGAACCTACATGGCTGTTCATTATGTGTGCAGCACAGCCTGCAACTGTCGTTTGCTAACTTACTGTGTGCTCTGATGCATAATCCACCATTTTCCAACAATGAAGACACTCATGTTGCAAATATTGAAATCGAAAGCTCTGCATTGATTATTATATCGGAAGAAAGGACCAAAAAACCACTACACAACATGTTCAAAATTGTCGTAATTCCGGAAAAAAATATCGGTTCTAGGTTTCCTCTTCTTTAATTTAGATCTCATTCTGGATACCTAACAGCAGTCGTCTTAGTTTCGTCCTATAATTTGAAGTGTTAACAATCTCGATTCTTGCCGAATTCTTACAAAATTATCAAGAACTGGCTTGTGCTCATTGCGTTTGACTTAGTTCGGTGCTTTAAGGGAATTTTCACATTACAGTCGGGGTCATTCCAGGCCAGTCTGGATGATTCAGTTAATTCTATGTTATTTTTGACAAAATCGCTTAGATTTGGCTGTATTCAACGCAATTAAACCGTTCCAAATTCATATTCCCAGTTCTGGATTATTCCTCCCGTTGTTTTGAATTATTCTTGCGAACCAGGCACGGTGCCTCTTTTCACAAATGCCACCACGAGTTTCTATTCGGGATATTTGTGGTGTTTGTTCGGGAATGTTCGAACCCACCCGCGGACACACGCACAGCAATCAGTTATGAACGGTAAGGCTACGAAAGAGGGATACGTCACCAAGCAGACACAGCATCAATGGCTTTTATCGGCTGCTATGTACTCCGCGTTCTCAATTGCTTTCCTCGTCATCAGCTTCGAGTGGAACAAACTTAACAATGAATGCCATTGGAGTTTGGAGTCATTGAGGGGAAAAGTAACCGCTGTATCATGTTCGACCAACGACTGTTCATGCCATTGTAAGAAAAACATATATTTATACGGCTGTGCATCAGCCGACATGTTTGTGTGGGCATATATTAAATTCTCATGAAATTCATGGCGAGTCGTGATCGTTCTCACCTGACCGACCATTAGACATTGCAAATGTTGGGCTGAAAAGTTCGCAAGGTTTCACGTTCGTGTACACACTATTCACTATTATGCGGACAGACAGACTGTAGAATACAACCTGACCCACTAAAAACCAAAATGAGCAGGGAATCAAGCGAGAATATCATAACCAGCTGTTACATTTTCTGCTTAACTGCTATCTGCGAGCGACCGCAGTGCGCGTAAACTCTAGAACACGTTGTTGACCATAGGCCTTTCATCTTTCGGATACGTTACACCTGGTTTCAACTTAATACCATGAGCTGTTTGAACGAAAAACGTTTATCAACAAATTATCAACGAATCAGTTTGATTTGTTCCAGCATTTAAAATTTGCCTGAACTTTGACCTTCATTTATCCTGCAAGAATAGGTCAGACGACTCTGACATCCTAGAAAGATCTGTTGCCCAACTAAAGGAATACCGTGTTTTTACATATTACCACCATGTTGCAATAGCACATGTTGTATTGCTACTTAAGTTCAATGTACGGATTTTAACAGTAGAACCGCTTTCCAAGTAAGGAGCCTCACTTAAGGAATGACTAGTTGAACCACAAGGCCCTTGGGGAGGAAAGCAGGGCTGGACCGGATGGGTCATGAGGCAGCCCACCGGCCTTATAAGGAAAAGTCAGTGTTCATTAATTTGACTAATCCTACCCTCAAATCCAAATGAACCAAACATATTCATGCACACTGTATTAATATTCAAAGACTAGTAGCTAATACGTAATGAGGCAAGGAAACTTGTATGATGGATGAAAAATGGAACGTCCAGCAAGTGTATAAAATCCCTCTGAGCTCTGGAAATTGGGCAGAGAGCCGCATATCGAGCCAGCCGAATAAGCCACATCAACTACAGTACAACTTTGTCCCAAGTCGTCCTCTTGTGTCGATCCATATAACCTGTCGGGTTATAATATACTGGTTGAAGGGATCAGGGCTGATGTTTGGTTCTGGATTCAACCGTATACCTTATGATTTCTGTGAAAAAACAACACGAAAAGAAAAAAAATCAGCCCATTCAGCCGAATCATTCACATGCCCTACTCCTTTATGGTGCACAATCCCAAATGAACACTTGCGTGCCTGTACATTTGTACGGTGTACTTTAGACCATTCTG